TGTTGTGCATGAACAATGAATCATGGAACACTTCATCTAGAACTAATGATGTAATGTATGGGGATTAACATAAGAATAAAAAAAAAAAAGAAATAAAAAAATAAAATAAAATACCCAGTAGGATGACACCCATCCACCTCTAGGCTTCCCTCTATTAGGCATATATGAGCCTGGGTTGAAGTTAGTTCTTTATAAGTTTGTTACCTCTGCTGGACTTCAAGATCCTTATAATTAATATCTTTTTGGAGTTTCTGCCCAGCTCACAATGACTCCACTTCTCTGGGAACTGTTGGTCTTCCAGCCATGTTTGTACCACATGTGACATCTGGCCCCCACCCCCCTTCAGGGTTGATTGCAGCAGAGGTAGACACAGGATGATGCTTTCCTCTAAGCTTTTGAACTGATGCTCATGCCTTGGGGCACCAAGATAATGGAGCATCATGAAAGATGCAAGACCAGGACCCTTAAAAAGGCAGAGAATGTTCTCAGACACAGCAAGGCAATGGGGCCCATGACACTTATTCAAGACCACAGCAATTCAGATTAATCCACCTTCATCATTTGACTTGCAGCTCAGTTGAGGAGAGCACATGCTCCCCACAATGGTAACTATAAGCTGCACAGCCTCGGCTTTGAAAGCCCAAGAAACTGTGGAAGGACATATTGGCAAATTAGATCTTAACAGCATTACTTCTTTACAGAACTTAAAATGCATCCCAGCCAGAAGAGCTCCGGCATCCTTTTCATCCTGTGTTAGGACTTAAATCTACCTCTGGAAGGCCCATTTTCAAAAGAGACACCAGCAATTTTCTGCAAGCTAAGTAGCCAAATGGCCAATTCATCAAATGGCCAATCTGCAAACTAATGGATTTTCTGAATGAACACTTTATTAACATTACCAACTTCTAAGATCTATAGCAATTTCTATTAGATGGAACAGTTTCACAAGCTTTTAAAGATTTATGTGATGCAGTAGTTGACTGGTTTTCATGTGGTCTTCACAAATCATTTGAAGGAATTTCTATTTATCAAAAGCTAAGGATGGTTTATTCTTCTTTTGAATATATTTAACTTCTGAATACATTAATACAGAGTATGTTCTTGAATGTAGATGTTTCTTGAGTGTATTAATATTATGCCACTTGGTTTATGCTCTTTCTGTCCCCCACTTTCTACTTCTCCTTTTCTGTCTGCCTTCCTGTTCCTCAGTTTCTCTCTGTGACTCAGTTTACCTAGTTGTAAAGACACAGAAATCTCCCTCATGAGATTGGTGTATAGGTTAAAGTAGATAATGGTGGCAAAGCATGGGGCCTGGCACATAGTATGCTCAGTATGTTTTAAAATTACATATGAGTCCCCACTGTGTACAAGACACTCTGCATGCACCATAAACACTGTATTCAATAATGCATAGGCCTCGTTTTTTTTATGCTCTGACAGTTTATATTGACCATTTCTTGTTCTTGTCAGATTCAAATCCAGGTCTCTTCAACCCAAGGTCAGAGCTCATCAACACTTGTCTTCACTAGGTGTCTCAACCATTTATCAACATAAATAAGGGGCATTTGGGAAATGTTTTTTGACCTGGGAACAGACCAGCTGCAGCTTTTAAAACCAGTATAAAGGTCTCTTTTGCTCCCCCAGTTTTGAGCAAGAAGAGCTTTGAGGGGATGCCAAGCAGAGAGTGAAGATTGTTATAAAAAGTAAGTTCTTTTCTAAAGACATTTACAAATGTGACCAGAAACCAAAGAGAAACCCTGTATCAGATCTCATAATATTTGACAGTACATTTCAATACATCTTCTCAGTTGAAGAGACTCAGAAAGGTAGAATTAAATAAATCAAACTCAGTATAGTTTCAAATATCATATTTTAGGTAGGTAAAAATCTGTCATTTTAACAGATCATGCAAACAGGAACACAAGAGACAAAATATCAGCTTTTACACGCACTCCATTTTTCTACATATATGACAGTTTGGCATTAAGTTTTAAAATATAAATCACAACCGGATTGCGATATAAACCCAAGGAAAACTGGATGTTCCCATGCCTTTGCTAGTGAAAGGCATGGGAAACTACAGAAAAAGTGTGCCTATAAAAGAACATGATGACTTTTCTTCAACAAACACAGCAGAACTCACAGATAAAAATGCACACTGTGCCTTCAAAGTATCACCTTCTGCAGCCTCGGGCATATTCTATGTCAGCAATTCCTTCTCTCAACACATCCTTTTGAGAATTGCCACCACTTTCAGGAATAGTGTGTGTGTGTGTGTGTTTGTGTGTGTGTATGTGTTGTATACTTAACAGGACAAATTTTTGCCATTTGGAGGTAACATGTGACAATAAGCTGGAACCCCACCGGGTTTTCATTCCAACTATGTGATGTTGGGCACCTTATTTCACCTTGCCACACCTCAATTTGCTCCTCTAGTAACACCATCCTCCTGCTGTGGGGTGTCATAGAGCTTCAATGAGATAAACATAACCCAGCCTTCAAGAAACGTGGCTTTCTTCTCTCTATTCCCATTTTTTTGTTTTTATTTTGCAACCGTTAAAAAATACCCTTTTCCTCTTTCTTTTGAGGCCATCTTTTATCATTTTTTTGTTACTAGTCAAAAGGAATTGGGGGTTGAAAACAGTGAACGTACAAGCTTCATAATTTCCTACTAACTCTAAGATATGCGTGAATGAGAAATAATAAGGCAGAATTTCCAAGGTGGTTCAGACACTGGTTCTGAGAAAGCTGTAGAAGGGGCTCAGAGGAGAGGTGTTCTAAGAAGTGACCACAGTCACGATAGAATTGCCGTCATGCCTATCAAGGTGACCCCTGGAAGGGGACAGCATCTATCTGCATATGTAAGGTCTCTACACAGTCCTATAACTCCATTCCAGGAAGGCTTAAGAGTTCCGTCTAATTCACCAGTGAAACTCTCCCCACGTGTCCCTTCGGTTTCCAATTAATTCCAGTCTGCAAGCTTGAATTACAATGAGAGTCTGAGGCTCCCACACTTCCTGAGGAGCAGGAGAACTCATCCAGATCTGATTCTCTTGGAAATATCCTGCTCTCTGCTCAGAGTACACAATCTATCTGCTGACCACCGCCATCTGCTGTTCTGCCAGTGGTACCTAAGAACTTTCCAAGTTACTAGTCCTTAAGACTATTCTTTTTGACTCCAGAAAGCCCAGGTGCCTGGCAACTCACAGGGCTTCATCCTCCATTTTCTTCAGGAACATTGCTTTGTTTGCATCCTCTTGTTGCCTCCCTTAGGAGCGAATGTGCAGAATTTTCTTGAATGTCTTCTTGAAGTTTTCGTTGCACAAGGGGTAAATGAGGGGGTTCAGCGTGGAGTTGATATAGCCCAGCCAGATGGTGAACATGTGCACACGCTCATTGCAACAGTTCTTGCAGAAGGCAATGACCATGAAGAAGATGAAGTAAGGAATCCAGCAAAGGATGAAGGCCGCCATAATAAAACCCAGTTGTTTGGCGGCCTTCCGTTCTCGATTCATGTGCAGCCCAGACACATACTGCCTTGAATGGGAGCGGAGCCTCTTCCAAGTGAACTTGATGTAATCAAGGCCTATGCTAGACCCACTTGTAGGTTTACCTTTCCCTGATGCTGACTCTGTGGGGGTGTCTGAGTCTGTCCGGGAGAAGGACTGGCTATCACCTAGGATCTGATCCTCTGACATCTCATTGGCCCCATGCATGTTCAGGCTCTGTTCATCCATCCCAAGTGGGCTCTGGCTCTGGTTGAAAACTACATAACTCCTGCCACTCCCCTCTGCCTCAGTTTGCACCTGCACAATATTAAGTGGAAAGCACTGGAGTCTGTCCACTTCTTTGTCCTCGTCTCGGCTGAAGACACCTGGGGATTTCATCTCCCCTGGGTCTTGGGATGGTGGCTTCAAGACAGGCTCACCACTGGCATCTTTTGACTTCCTTTTCAGAACCTCCCAGAGGGACTCCTTCCCTGGTTTTTTGGCCCCTGCCTTGGGGTTCTCTGGCTTCAGCTTAATTTCAGAGAAGGAAGGGTGGGATCCATTGATGAGCTCTCGGTGCTGGCAGTGTTGCTGTACAGCCTTGTAGATCTTGGCGTAGAACCAGAGCATGAGCAAGGTCGGCAGATAGAAGTTGATGATGGCAGTCATGATCTTGAACCAGGTGACATCATAGAAGTCTGTCTCACACTTGTCTTCCCGGTGTTCCGAGGACTGTGACATAAAGTGATGCCATCCCAGAATAGGAATAATCCACAGGAAGGAGAGAAACCAGGCCCCCAAGATGGTGGCTGATGCTCGGGTCTTGGTACGATATTTCAAGTATCTGAGGGGCTGCTGGACAGAGCGGTATCGATCAATGCACAAGATGAAGACACTGAAAATGGATGCTGTGCTGGCGACGTAGTCCATGGAAAGCCAAAAGAGGCAGAGAGGCTGGCCCAGGGACCACTTGGACATGAGGAGGTAGAGGATGTTCATGGGCATGACGACAGCTCCCACGATCAAGTCTGCCACGGAGAGGCTGACAATGTACAGGTTCCCCACAGTGTGTAGCTTCCGCTCGCTCCGCACAGCATATAGGACCAGCAGGTTGAGTCCCACTGTGACCAAGGAGATGGCACTCAGGACCACCACCAGGGGCATGAGTTGGGGGTTGGCTATGGTGGTCTTGTTCCCCTCGCACATCTTGTCTTCGAAGGCGCAGGAAGAATTGGGAAGGGTCATTGGCACAAGAGCAGCCTCCAGCTGTGGCTCCCTCCCTGGGAAGAAAGACACAAGGATTAAGGTCAGCGCCTTGGAGATCAGTAGAGTCACTTGGTACCACCAAGTTGATGTAACTGGGGTTGTATGCTGTTCAGGGCAGTGGATACTGCTGGTTACTGACAGTCTATATCCCCTTCTTCCTTAGTCATTCATTTCCTCACCTATTCAATGACTATTTAGTGAATTCCTGGCATTGTTCTGGGCACTGGGAATATAGCAGTGAACAAAACAGAAATCTCTGCTCTCATGGAGTTTACATTCTAGTCAGGGAGTTGGGCAAAAGCAAGGCAAAGTTTGTATAAGTCCCATGTTGCATGTGTTCTGGGAAGGTGGACTGCATTATGACTGGTCTACACCGGATATGGCACTCTAGTTTGAAGAAAACTGAGAAGCCCTAACAGAGTGTAAATCTCTCTTAAAAATTTAGCAAAAACAAACTACTTTCATATTGAGACAAAGCCAGATAAATTCTTAAGAAGAAAACTAAATTTGTATGATATTTTTTTTTCAGATAAAAAGCAAGACCCTACGGCATTTGATCCTTGTGGGAGGAACCCTTGAGTTACTTTGCTGGAAAAGCACCATGTGGATAGCATTGATTTTGCCCCAGCTCTGCCATTGGTATTCTGAGTGATCTCTCAGGCTGTGTTTTCTCACAGGTCAAATGTGAAAAGTGGCGCAGGTGATCTCTAAAGGCTTCTCCAGGTATCCTGTTTAGAGTCCTGCTTTGGGTATTTTTTCATATTCTCCTCCAGCTCTGAACTGCCCATCAGAGCAATCCTCCAGCTTCTTCCAGTATGCCTCCTCTGAACAGCATCGCCTTCCCCTCTTATGACCCAGTCCTGCTCTCTGCTCCTGTCACTCTCCACTGTCTGCCTGAGAGCCTTCCCCACTCACCCCTGTCAGCCCCAGCCATCAGCTCTGTGAGGATAATAGCCCCCAAACCTACAGCTTCAGCCTGTCTCTTTCTCCACTTCCACATCCCAAACCAGCACTTCACAGCTTCACCTTCAGCCCTGACCAAGCTCACACCCCTTGGAATAGTCTGCAGCCATCCCAGGAAGGAGGAAAGAGGCTAGGGAAGTTCATCACAGTTTTATTTTTGATTTTGGGTGGGAGAAAGCAGGAAGCATTTCCCCCAAACATTCCCACAGGCTGCTATTCTCAAGGTAGCTCCAACCACCCTCTGCTACAGATGTGTCTCGTTTCTCTTTTTTTCCTTGTTGCCTTGAGGACAGTTCTATTTTCTCATTTCTCTCTTTGCCTCATTGCACACAGAGGGGGATCGAGAATCTCTTTTCACTCTGCATATACTATTTGTCATTCAACAATGTGACAGAAAATGATTTTTTAATATAAAAATCATTGATTTTTTTCCTTTTTGACTAAAAAAGAAAAGTTGTGACGATTGAATTGAGATCACTGAACTAAAAATTACTGTCACATATTAAGTGTTTAGGGGTGAAATCTACTGAGGTCTATAGCTTACTTTGAAATGAATCAAAAAACAAGTTGGGTGGGTAGTTGGTTAGAAGAAGGGATAAAGGAACAGACATATAATAAAGCAGGAAGAGCAAAATGTTAATTTATAACCCAGGTGGTAGATATATGGGTGTTCACTGTACAATGCTTCCAACTTCTCTATTTTATCAATAATTTTCATAGGAAGATGTTGGGGGAAATTAACGTAGCATATATACATTTATCCTCCTCACCTACCACTGTAAGCTCGATTCCTTATCACGTGTTCTCCACTGTAGCTTGGACGTGTTAGTTTGCATAAACATAAAAGCAAACGATCAATACATATTCGTTAAATGGATGAGTGAGTGAGTGAGAGGCAGGTGCCGCGAAGCATCTCAGTTCAGAACTTACTCATTCAACAGCTATTTACTGGTGAAAGGTTCCCTTCAGCTCAGTGAGCTGCTTCAGAAGCAAGAGGATCCACTTTTATCCTCTGAAGCCATGGAATTGGGAAGGATTCCTGGAAAGGCAACTGCAACCCCCACCTGCTGCCTCTCCTGAGGAATGCGGGGTGGGGCGGGGTGGGGGTGGTCGGGGTGTCAGGGAAAGAGGAGGAAGCCTGAGAGAACCCCGAAGAATGGGCCCCACAGGGCAGGCCCCCAAAAGGGTGGCAGGAGCAGCCGTGTCCACGGCGACCTCATATCCCGCTCGGGACTGGCTACGTAATTTGCAGGGCCCCGTGTAAAATTAAAAATTAAACAATTACTAAGAATTTCAAGATGGCAACAGCAGAACAGGAAACCGAGACAGGGGCCCTCCTGAGCACAGGGCCTGTGTGGCTGCCAGGGTCACAGGCCCCGTATGCTGTTCCTGCTCTCTGGTCTTCTTATCCAATCCCCGAACATGCCCCACCCGGTGAGATAATTCATGTAAGGCGCTCTTCCCTCCCTCGGGGATCTGCCTTTTGGAAAAGCAGATCGTTGAATGGTTCTCTCTCTATAAATGCCAAAGGGACGTCAGACTGAGTGTGGGAATTGTGTGGGGACAGGGATCCTCACTGCACCTCACGATACACAGGAGGCCATACTCCCTTCGGGCTGCCCAGATCCCAGCAGGTTCTGAGGTGCTCTCTCTGGGATCAAGGCCAGGCCTACAGAGATGGTGTGGGCGATGGGTGTGCTCTGAGAAGAGAGAATGGAAGCTAGATGAGGCACTTTGGACAGGGCAGTTGGAGAAGAAAAGCGGGCACCTGTAGATTTGTTATAGCACTGTGTCCCTAGAGGACAGGTGATGGAAGGAGAGGGTTCTCACCCCAGCTCTGCCACTTGGGCTGTGTGGAGCTTGGGTAAACAGCCATGCCTCGAATTTCCTTACCTGTAAAGTAGGGAAAACATCATTATCTCTCTCCCTGGGCTGTTGGGAGGGTCATTTGAGGCAGTGGGGTGGGAAAGCTCTGCTAATCCCCAGGTAATGAGGACCAGGTGACACACAGAAATGAATCCCTTTTCTCGAAGAGGCTCGAGTGTACAAGCAAGCCATCATTTTTTTTTTTTAAGATTTTATTTATTTATTTGACAGAGAGAGACATAGCGAGAGCAGGAACACAAGCAGGGGGAGTGGGAGAGGGAGAAGCAGGCTTCCCGCAGAGCAGGGAACCCGATGTGGGGCTCGATCCCAGGACTCTGGGATCATGACCTGAGCCGAAGGCAGACGCTTAACGACTGAGCCACCCAGGCGCCCGCAAGCCATCATTTTTGAATTAAGGCAATGGCTCCATTCCAAAACCATTAGCTGCAGTGGGACCTTTTCCAGAGTGATTACAAATAGTCTAATCCAGTCAGGCCCAAGTGCCAGCAAGTAAACAAAGGTAGTCAACGTTTCTTCCACATCCTTGGGAATACTGACTGGAACAGCTACAACAGTAAGGAGCCAAGCCCTGGGCTTTTCAGATATCAGTTATTAAATGCCTACCACAAGCCCATAGGGAGGTCTTGTGATGATCCCCAAGGTAGAGATGAGGAAATGCTCAACTCAGGCTCAGAGAGGTGAAGCAACCAACTCAGGGTCACACAGCTAGGAAGAGACTGGTGAAGTCAAGATTCAAACCTGAGTCGATCTATTTCTCAACCTTTGTTCTACTGACATTTTGAACTGGATAATTCTTTGTTGTGAAGGACTGTCCTGTGCATTATTGGCTGTTTAGCAGCATCCCTGGTCTCTGCTTGCTAGGTGCCAGTAGCATCCTCCCCCTCTTCCCAGTTGTGACAACCAAAAATATCTCTAGACATTGCCAGATATCCACTGGGAGGTAAAATGATCCTTAGTTGAGAACTACAGGTCTAACTGAAGAATAAACACCTCAACTGCCTTGAGCTTTATGCTCAAGGTCAAAAAGGACTTTCTAAAAATAGATGTTATCTAACAATGCAATGAATTGCCTTGAAAGATAGTAAGTTCTCCATCATGGGAGGCATGCAAGAAGAACATTGGAGAAGGAGTGATGTGTGAGCTGGGCTTCGAAGGATGAATAGAGGTTCACCAGGAGGAAGGAAGAGGAATTTAAGGATGAATAAAAGTACAGATCTAAGTTCGAGGAACTGGGAGGGAATTGTTGGAATGATGAGTCAGGGAAGGCATTAGGGGACAAGGTGTAAGAAAGCTCTTTTACACCTCTGTGCTTCTGCTTGTGCTGTTTCCCCCTCATGGAGCACCATTTGCCTTGAAGCTCTTAGTTGCTCCCCTCTGTGTCCCCACAACACTTCTAACTTTCCCTTTGATATCACCCAGCTTATCATTCTTTCTTTAGCTGATTGTCCCTAACTAAACAGGGAGCACCTCCGGGGCATGGAAAGCGTCCACTATTTCTGTTTCCGACGTGAGGCACCCATGGCCATCAAGGAGACACCCCCTCCTTTATGGCAGGGCCCACCCCTTTTCATTCACTGCCATTCTCCCATGCTGGTGCTGGGCAGGTACATGAGGGATGCTCAACAGATGTTCATTGGATGGGCTCTGAAGAAGCGAGACACAAATGAAGAGCAACAGGACACACAGGAAGAAGGATCTAACTGCAGAAGGTGTAGGCTTATTTTTCAACAAAGATGTCTAAACCAGCAAAAACTGGAGGTAAGATTTATGCTACTGATGAATATTGATAACCTTCATTTAACTTTTCTATTTTTTTCTGGAAACTTTATTGTTGGAAATTTCTCTCATGGTAATCCAAAACATGAATACAGATTTATGCACAAGGATGCTTATTGCGACATCATTTATGATAGGCGATAAAAGGAAAGAAATCTAACATCTGGGAACTAAATATATTATGGGATAGCTACAGAATAGAATATCATGCAGTCACTGATCATCACATTTATGGAGCACCATTAGTAATATGGAAAAATGCTTATGATGAAATTAAATTTACAACAGATATTGTTTATCCAGGATGATGTTAATTCTGTTACCAGGTTTAGCATAAGGATGAGTCTCTGTTATGTTATATTAACAGTGGTTTCCTCTGGGTGGTGG